CTTTTATCACAACGAAAAATATTCATTCGATCTTTTTCATCAAACCACTCCCAGCTCCTCCTCTTTCAGAAAAAAAAAGGAAAAGTAAAGGGTTTTTTTTAAAAAAATCTGTAATTCTGATATATAATTGTCTTAAAAGTTTATGAATTAGTATCTGAAATTTATGAGAAAAAATACCAAATGATTTTAATGAAGAATGAATTGAAATGAAATCATTATATTTTACCTTACAAGCAAGAGAAACATAATAACCATTCCACGAATTGCACAAAATTTACGGATAAACTTCAGGTCATTGACTTACGAATACCGCGGTATTTCGAAATTGAAATTCTTTTATAAATCAAAATAAAGTTTGAAAAAAAAGCAAAAAAAAAAAAGGAAAAAGCAATGGATATATTACGGCATTTTTCCAAAAGTTTGTTTACCAGTGCATTAACTTTTGAAAAAATGATATTTGAACAAAAACTGTGATGTAATAAGAAAAGGGATATTGGAATGAAATGTATAAAATTCAGATGATGCTATAGCCTTTGATATAAAATCCTTATTTTCCACTGTAAATCGTAATTTTTTAAAGTAAGGATGGCTTAGAAAATTGAATTTACATATGTTACCTTAATACTTTAAAGTTTTTCCTATTATTTTGAATTATAGGACTAAACACATACGGAGAAAAGAATTACTTTATGAATCTGAAACAACAAAGTTGAATACACGGAAATCGGTGGTTCTTAAACAACATCGTTATAAAGAAACTCAAGGGCTATTGGCAACCATTTGATCTACTACGATCAAATAATGAGCTTGTTGCTTTATTCGACTACGTTCGGAACCGTGATTTTGCAAAAGCGTATAAATGGATAATATTTATGATATTTAGTGTCACTTAGATTAGAAAACGTGTATAAAACTGTTTTAAGGATATTATTACAATAAAAAGTTATTTAAGTACAATATTTTGACAAAAAATGAACATAGAATGACTAATTTTCAAAACATTCACCTTTTATGAAAAACGCTTCTATTATAATAATATTTCGCCTGTATATAGCTCAGACCTCTTTACAGAGGCTGAACTAGAATTTTTATAATATATAACTTACAAGTGGATTTATACATATTTTACTACAGCAGACGGTTGACATTTGAAGAAAAAAACGCCAATAATTATTTCAATTGGTGGTAACCCTGAAAATAATGGGAATTTTTCAAAAATTCTAGTTCAAACTCTCTGGAGAAGTCTACTTTATATATAAGCAAAATATTATTATTATAGAAGCATTTTTTATAAAAGGAGAACGTTTTGAAAAAAGTTTATTCTAAGTTAGTTTTTTGCCAAAATATGGTATTTAAATAATTTTTTATGTCATAATGTTCTTAAAACAATTTTATATATGTATTCTAATCTAAGTGACACTAAATAACATGAAAATTATCCATTTATGCGTTTTTTTTAAAATCATGGTTCCGAACGTAGTCGGAAACCTTAAACTCCTCAACAAAGATTTTTAAGTTAAATTTGAAATGAAGTAAAGATTCTAATTATTCTATATGAAGGGCACTCCAAGTAATTACCATATTTACTCCAATCTAAGGCGCCATCGATTCTAAGTCGCATCTCGAATTCTCAAAATATTTTTGTGAAAAAATATTGTCATCGATTCTAAGCGGCACCTCCGATTCCCTACACGTTTATGAGAAAAAATTTTAAAAAGTTGTGTAAAAAGCTCATCAATATCTGATATTCCAGAAATTCTTAAGAAAAAATTTTAATGACAAATAATAAAATATTAATTAATTTATTTTACCAGTGTTAAAAACTCTTTCAAATACATACATGAATCTATAATTACTCTAACCGTCAGTATCGTGTTTCAAAAAGGATTCGTCACTCGCATTGTCACAGCTGACTTCGGAATTGGTGCGGCGTCACCATTTTCTCACACGATGTCGTCTTCCATGCCATCCAATGCATTTTTTTTCAAAGAATGCAACATAGAAGAATGTAAATAATTATTAGAGATTGTTGAACATTTAAAAGTAAAAAATTATGATTTTGCTAACGCCATCGACGTATATTTGTTTCATCCGTGTCAAATTTTCACTGGCCACTGCTCTATTTCCGTTTTTTCTGCATATAAAATTGCCTCCTACCTTTTCATACTTGAGTCATAGTGAACTCTTTCTGATGCTATTAGCGATATCTTTGATGTTTAGGTGCTTAAAAGAAAACATACACAAAAAATTTTTCCTAAATATGAACAGACAACGATGTTTAGGATACATTGAAATACTGCAGATAATCCGCGGAATGGAATAATCATCGATGCAAGTCGCTAAAATGGACGGTGACATTTTTCCTTTTGAAAGGGATGGAAACTCAATTTTCCATATTCAACAAATGTTTTTTGACTTGGATTCTAAGCCGCACCCGATTTTCAGTAGCATCAACACTGGAAAAATAGCGCGGCTTAGATTCGAGTAAATACGGTAATAATCGAACGTTAAAGTTCAGAATTTAGGATATACTTTTCCCATACGTATCCTAATATGCATTAATTTTTTATTAAAAAAATTAACTAGAGGATACCAAAACTAAAAATTATATATAAGAACTTTTAACTATAATTTGCACAGTTTTTTTAAAAATATTTTACCGAATTTTAAAAAAACACATACACAAAGAAAAAAAATTGACATTCTGCTTTAAAAAGAACTTTGATGTTAATTGCTAAATATAAGAATTACTTTACACAAATGGAGATAGAAACTCAGTATTAATAAAAATATTTAAGGTTGAAAGTTTTATTTCTAAATATAGAAAATCATTTCAAAACCTTAAAAATAATTTAAAGAAAACAAAATCGAGATAGTAATAAACTTAAATAGATGTTATATATAAGTAATTACCTATCAGTATAATATTCTATTGAATCTTTTACGAAGGGAAATACATGACGAATATTAATAAAACAATATTGATTTAAGGTACTCGACTACGATTGGAACCGTGATTTTGCAAAAGAAAATACATTTTTTTTAACATTTAATGCCACTTGAATAAGAATATAAAAGGTTTAAAAAAATTATAACAACAGAAACTTATGTAATTTTTTTTTTATTTTGTCAAAAAAGAAAGCAAAATGGCCTTTTCAAAACATTCTCCTTTTAAAGAAAATGCTTGTACAGTTATAATATTTCACTTATATATACATAGCTAGGACTTTTTCACAGAGCCTGAACTAGGATTTTTGAAATATATACTTTAGAAGTGAATTTATGCACATTTCAATATGTCAGAATGAAAAAAAAAATGACAAAAAACGCCGGCTATTTTTTTTTAGTTGATAGTTACTTTGAAAAAAAATATGAATTTTTCACACACAAAATTTTTAATCCATGCTCTGTAGAGAAATCTTAGCTATACACTGAAAACTATTATTATTGAATCATTTTCCATAAATTGATAATGTTTTGAAAATATGCAACTTTTCCTTCATTTTTTTTTTTGCTAAAAAAAAATTACATTTAAATAATTTTTTATTGTAATAACAACCTAAAAAGAATTTTACATGTACATATTCTAATTCAACTGATACTAAATATTTAAAAAAAATATGTATGCTTATTTATACGTTTTTGCAAAATCACATTTTCGCGCACGCGCGAATTAATTTAATTACCTTAAAAATGAATCCGAGAATGTTGTTAAGTTAATACTTGAGTATGAGCACTTATAAATTTTTTATTTGAAATTTATGGAGATTTTTATAAATTGAATTGAATTTTTATCCTACAAAAATTAAACATATTTACAAATTCAGTCATGAAAAAACATGTAAATGGAAATCTAGCCAATAATTCTAATTTGTGTAGCAACTGTTATTGATACTATTCGTTTATTTTATTTCTCATCATCTTTATTAATTACTGTTAGTTAATGTATATTGAATATAAAGTGGAGAAAATGATTCAGACATTTTAATTTCTGTTTTTCAAAAAATTAACCTTAAAACCTAATTATAACATACATTTAATATTTATTTCTTGCTTTTACTTTAATATCAGTTAAAAGATGCCGTACATTTACAACCCCTTTTCTCCCTTTTCACCCCGAAGTTACAAAAATCATTTGCACCCTCCGCCCCTTTTCAAACCCATTTCTGGTTCCGCCACTTATACGAACCAAAACACAACTCACATGATTGATACGCTATGAAGTATTCAAAAAATCGCACAAAAAAAAAGCGAGAATGCTTACGGACAGAACTAGAAAACGAAAGCCGCTATAACTGGAGACAAAAATAAAATCAACTAGAGATATGAAAAAAATGGTCTTGAGGAGGGGAAGAGAACGCGGGAGGGTACAGAAAAATCAAAATAATAAAAAATAACAGTCGAAACTTCGGAGCGGTTCCTTTTTAATCCGCAGGTGGGCTCTGCAACGACAAAACGATCCTCCATTCACGTAATCTTTCAGAAGTCGCCGAAATAAAAGACAGTGGGCGTTATAACGCGTCAAAAGTTCCACCAGGTTCGTCTTTTGTGTTCGTAAAGAGTTATGAGCTTGTCGTTTACCGCAGCAATAGCATTCCGACTGTTTTGCACAAAGGTGGAGGTCTTTGGCGGTGAAGCTGCGAAGGTCCAGGAATTCTGTTAATATACTCAGCGAAAAATGAGTGTTTATTGCGTAATGGAACGTGTTATTTTGAAAATTATACTCTTCTGAAAAGAAATCGTTTGCCGCTGTTTTAATTGATAAGCCGATGTAGCAGACGTTTGAAAAAAAGAATGATTATTATTTTTATGAATTAAAACACAACTGCTCGTTATAAAACATCAAGTAGTAGAGCAATACGATAATTACTTTTAAATTCTATTCAAAAACAGAGCATCTTATACGATACTATAAAATTCTGACCTATTCCGATAATATAGAAAAATTTTAAGTTTTCCATTATTGCTAGTTAATAAATAGAAACCGCATTTTTTATAGAGCCCGGGTAGCTCACTCGGTAGAACGTTAGGCTTTTAACCTAACGGTGCAGGGCTCCAGCCCCTGTTCGTGCGTGTATTTGTATTGAGGTACAAATTTAGTTTGAATGATGCGGGGGAAAAAATCTGTGGATATATCTAAAATGGTTTGGAGAATTCGACCGCGTATTTTTTGAAGATTTTTAATACTTATTAAATATATATATATATATATATATATATATATATATATATATATATATATATATATATATATATATATATATATATATATATATATATATATATACTAGCCGTTACCCACCCGCTTCACTGGGTATTTCACGATGTTGTATATATGTATACTGTTTACATATATATTAATTATTGATATCTAGCATTAAGAATTCGATTGTATTGAAGAATATATTTATAGCTGTTACACTCTCGCCCCTTGATATAAAAAGAACACAAATTATAATATCTAATTTCTATTTATATCTAAAATAGAAGGAGAAAGATTTTTTTCGCTCACTTAACCTAATAATCAAGTGGATTTCCGCCAAAGCAACTTTCAGTGGATCTCTACTCCATAAAATAAACATGCGTGGTAAATTTCAAGTCTAAATCTAACAGAGCAAAATCGGAATTTTTATCATCAATACCTCGTTGAGAGCACTCTTAGCGGATTCCATTTCAACAAAAGAAGCATGCAAACCAAATTTTATTACTGTAGTCTTAGCAGTTCGAAAACGGAAATTTTGTCTATCAATACGCTCCAATAACTCTCCCCGCTTCCCCCTGGAGTTGATTTCCGTAAAATCCATTCTTAGTGGAACTCTATTCAAATAAAGAAAAAAGTGCTCAACAAATTTCAAGTAAATGAGTTAAATTCAAAAACAGGAATTTTTCTATAACACGCCTTAATTCCTCACAACCCCACTCCTTTGGGGGTCCGTTTTCACAAAATCTTTGTAAAAGGAACTTTATTCCATGAACGGAACATACCTTCTAATTTTCAAGCAGGTGTTTCTATTAGTTGAAAAGCGGAAATATTTAACTATTACGCTCCTTAATCCCCCTCAGTGACCCTTGGGGATCAATTTCCCCCAAAACTATTTTGTAGCGGATATCTACACCATGAAAGAAACTCGCTTACCAAATTTTAAGACTGTACGTCTAATAGTTTAAAAATAGAAATAATTATCTATAACTCTCCTTAAGCCCCCGCAACGGCCCTTAGGAATCGATATTCACAAAACCCATCTTACGGTAGATCTATACTCAGTGAATGAAAACTGCTTACTCAATTTCAAGGTTTTACGTCTAATAGTTTAAAAAAGGAGTTAATTGCCTATAACGCCCCTTAATTCTCCACAACGCCACTTGGGGTCGATTTTCACAAAACCCATTCTGTAGGGGATCTGTACTCTATGAAAGGAATCCGCTTATCAAATTTCAAGACTGTAAGTCTAATAGTTTAAAAATGGAAATAATTATGTAGAACGACCCTTAAGCCCCCGCAACGCCACTGAGGAAACGAATTTCACAAAACCCATCTTATAGCGGATCTCTAATTAATGAATGGAATCAGCGTACTAAATTTCGAGATTTTACATCTAATAGTTTAAAAAAGGAGATAATTGCCTGTATATAACGCCACTTAATTCTCTACAACGTCACTTGGGAGTCGATTTTGTCAAAACCCATTTTGCAGCGGATCTATACTCTATGAAAGGAATCCGCTTACCAAATTTCAAGACTGTACGTCTAATAGTTTAAAAATGGAAATTATTGTCTATAACGCCCCATAAGCTCCCGCAACGCCACTTAGGAAACGATTATCACAAAACCCATCTTACGGCAGATCTATACTCAGTGAATGGAAACTGCTTACTCAATTTCAAGGTTTTACGTCTAATAGTTTAAAAAAAGAGTTAATTGCCTATAACGCCCCTTAATTCTCCACAACGCCACTTGGGGTCGATTTTCACAAAACCCATTCTGTAGGGGATCTGTACTCTATGAAAGGAATCCGCTTATCAAATTTCAAGACTGTACATCGAATAGTATAAAAATGGAAATAATTATCTATAACGCCCCTTAAGCACCCGCAACGCCACTTAGGAAACGGTTTTCACAAAACCCATCTTATAGCGGATCTCTACTCAATGAATGGAATCAGCTCACTAAATTTCGAGATTTTACGTCTAATAGTTTAAAAAAGGATTTAATTGCCTATAACGTCCCTTAATTCTCCACAACGCCACTTGGGAGTCGATTTTGACAAAACCCATTCTGTAGGGGGATCTGGACTCTATGAAAGGAGAATCCGCTTACCAAATTTCAAGACTGTAGGTCTAATAGTTTAAAAATTGATATAATTATCTATAACGCCCCTTAAGCCCCCGCAACGCCACTTAGGAGACTATTTTCACAAAAGCCATCATATAGCGGTTCTCTACTCAATGAATGGAATCAGCTCACTAAATTTCGAGATTTTACGTCTAATAGTTTAAAAAAGGAATTAATTTCCTATAACGCCACTTAATTCTCTACAACGCCACTTGGGAGTCGAATTTCACAAACCCATTCTGTAGGGGATCTGTACTCTATGAAAGGAATCCGCTCACCAAATTTCAAGACTGTTCGTCTAATAGGTTAAAAATAGAAATAATTATGTATAACGCCCCTTGGAGTTCGATTTTCGTAAAAATAATTCTGTAAGGAATCTATACTTTATGAAAGAAAAAAAAAATGTGTGTACCAAGTTTCATGACTGTACATCTAATAGTTTAGTAATGGAAATAATTATCTATAACGCCCCTTGGGGTTCGAACTTTTCAAAATCCGTTCTTAGCTGACGTCTACTCCATGAAGGGAACCTACCTACCAAATTTCAAGTCTGTAGGTTTAATAGTTCCGCAGATATCGTGATTAGTCAGTGAGTGAGTGAATGAATCAGTGAGTGAGTGAGTCGCTTTTCTCCTTTATATACAGTGACTACCAAAATTGAGAGTACACTTAATTCCAAATTCACCATCGGATCACCAGGTGCAGAAATTAATACGCTATGTTAACGCAATTTTGTACATTTAAAATGCATACATTACTCTTCCAAATAACATTAAATGTAAGATGTGGAAATTGATTGAAACAAAAATATGAAGGTTCGAAAGAAAAAAACTACACTATTTTAATGTCACAAAATTCAGGGTACATTTCTTTAATCACTATGCAAAACTACCAGTAATTTTTTAAATAGAAATTTGATAATATATCTATGATAAAGAAAGGCTTTCAAAGGCTATCTGATAACAAATTTGTGTTTGTAATTTGATGTCTTGATTAAAAAGGAGAATCGGAAGGAAATGACGATCGAAGAGAGAAAACTTGTTATTTAACTGTCAAATGAAGGTAAATCACTGGGGAATATTGCTAAAGTAGTTGGACGAAGTGTTAACTGCATCCAAAAAATCCTGCAAAAATTTAAAAAGACTGGTATACTGGCAAATAACGAAGGAAGAGGGAGAAAGAAAATTATGAACTCTATAACCGAGCGAAGAGTTATACATCAAGTGAAGATTGATCCTAAAATTAGTGCTCCTAAAATTGCAGCCAGTACCTCTAATACCTTAGGTCGATCTGTTTCTGACGGTACGAAGAGTCCTGAGAAAGGCTGGCTATAATGGTAGAGTAGCTCGAAAAAAGCCCTTAATTGGTAAGAGGAATAGAGTCAAGCGATTGAAATTCGCTAAAGAACACATTTTAAAGCCTCGACAGTTTTGGAACGAAGTCATTTTCAGCGATGAGAGTAAGTTCAACATCTTCGGCAGCGACGGTCGTTGTATGGTGTGGCGTAAGGCAAATACCTCACACCACCCAAAACACACAATTCCTACTGTGAAGCACGGAGCTGGGTCGGTGATGGTTTGGGGGTGTATGGCTGCGTCGGGGGTGGGAAAGCCAGTATTCATTGATGGAATCATGCACAAGATGACTTATCTTAATATACTGCAAAATAATTTGAAAGAAAGTGCTGATAATTTGGGACTGGAGTAGAATTTCATATTCCAGCAAGACAATGACCCCAAGCACACTGCGTTTGTTGTAAAAGAATGGCTGCTTTACCATTGTCGGAATCAACTTAATACACCTCCACAGTCTCCCGACTTAAATGTTATCGAGAATCTGTGGTCCCACCTTGAGAGAACTGTGCAAAAACATCAAATTACAAGCAAAGAACAATTGAAATCGGTATTGCAAGAAGAATTGCTGAATATTGCTCCCGAGACCACTAGACATCTTGTGGAATCACTGCCTCGGCAATTGGAAGCTGTCATATCAGCAAAAGGTTATGCTACTAATTATTAACTCTTTATTATTCATGATTTATGCAGGAAAATAGATGCATGTACTCTCAATTTTGTGGCTATTAATTTCTGCTAATTTTCTTTATAAGTTATTATATGTATGTTTAAACTATCAAATATTTTGTTTTACCATTCAAAATAAGGAATTATGATCTAATAAACGCATCTATGCTTAAAGGTTTTAATTATCTCCCTCATTTAATATAATTTTTTCATTCTAAACATTGATTCCCGTTTTAAAAGTAGGTGTACCCTCAATTTCGGGAGTAACTGTATATAGATACATATATTGAACAAAATTTTATAACTACTGCAGTTTAAAATACATTTATGTAACGTTAATTTTCTTATTCTTTTCTTTTTAAAAAAAAACATCTGTTCATGATATAATGTGAAGAATTTGATATTTTCTAATACTTATCTGTCTATGAAAATATAATAATTTAGCCCATTTAAAATAACGAAAACCCTAAAATATCTAGTTTTTCAGCAATTTTTCATCTGAAATTGCAAAATTTTTAATTCAAAATGTTTTCTGTACAAAAATAATTCATTTTTTCCCCTATATACTGTATATATTTAACACTCGAATTAATTTTTTTACTTTTACTTTTCTGTATTCTAAAAGTTAAATTCGTTCCCTTTTAACCATTTTTCCAAAATATTCAAAATTGTTTAAAATAACATTTTTGTATATGCAGTCGGACCTCTATTTAACGAAGT